TATTTAGGACATTTTTAAAGCCATTTACAGATCCCCCCCCCCCCGCACCCCCAAATCCACACACTTTTTAAAAAAAAAACTGGTATTGGATTTTATTTTCTAGTGCAGGATTGAATTCTTTTTTTAAAAAAACCAAATCCCTCTCTTCGCCCCCAGACAGGTTGGCTGATTTGCTTGGAGTTTGTTGTATGAACAGCAGGGCCTGCACTGAGGTTGCTGCAGCTGTGCAAAGGCTCCTCCAGACCCAGGCAACATCCTGATCCCAACCTGCTACCTAGGTATGGGAAAGTGGAGAAGATCACCTGTCATGATCCTGCCCCACATGCAGGGGGACAGTTGTCTATCTCTTATCAATTGTGTCCTGAGGGAAGAGAGGAGAAAGCAGCGATTTGCTGCCTTTCTACCAGCTCTGCATGGTAAAAGAGAGGATGAGAGCAGAGGAGCTGATCCCTGCTGCCCACGAATAACTGTATGGTCTCCTTGTCTTGCTGACTCCCCAAAGACATTCAGTACCAGTCACCCAACTGTCAGGGGAAGGGGCGGGAGAAGTGGGAGGACCATTTTGGTTCTGTCCCAAACCATGCCTCACCTCTGGGGCCACAGCAGCAGAATAAACAACTTTCTGCCAAGGTTTTGGATTAGGTGTGTGTTTGGAGGGGGGAGGGGGTTGGCTGCCTTTTGTTTTTTGGGGGGGGGGGTTTCTCTCTTTAAAAAAAAATTATTTAACTGTAGCTAAAGGAGAATTGTGGCTTTTTAATGGTCAAGATCAGAGGTCTTAATGCCACCTGAACCTGTAGCAGGTCTGGCTTAAAAATGAGGACATAGACATTAAACTTTCCCTATAAAGTTATATTTTAACCCCCCCCCTCCCAAAAGGTAAAAGCAAGAGGTGACTGGTCTGGGTGATCTGTTGGCTGTCACCGTCACAAAAAGTTTAGCATTGTGTGGAAGAAAGAGAGGCTGAGAATAGTTCTACTCTTGATTCTAATTGTGTGCTCAGTTTTAGCCATGTGCTTCGGCAGTGGGTAAGCTTGTGTATGTTTATGATAATATTATTCTGGTAATGAAACCGCTGAGGGAGAACTACCTGGAATGCTTTGTTGAGATGCTGATATTTCCTTAGATTAACAGACAGCTCAATATAAACAGGATCAGGAAATATGGGCTGAGTAAAAATAGTTCTATCAGAATGAAATGCAGCATTCAGATTTTTAAGAATTAAAACTATGAATTGACTTTCCAGTTTCAAAATGTTTAAAAACATTAACCCTCCCTTGAATTCTAGTTTGTTATGTGTTTGTTGTTATGAAGGAAGGAAGGAAGGATGTTTTGGATTACTAGGAGGGAAAAATGGTTAAACAATCTGGTGGGCTATGAGACCTTAAGGAACCTCTCCCTTTTTTTAGCACAGTAATTACACTGCATACTGTGGAGGTAAGAAGGCATGCGTGCAATATGTCTACTATCTCATATTGCTCCTGGATAAGTGTGAGGGGACAGGGTTAAACAGGTTTAAACAAGATGCATCAAATATAACTCTTGACAGATTCATTTTAATATTTAGTCCTCTGTATGAAAAACAGCAGAATGCTACATGCTACACTCCTGATTGTATTGTTATAACTTTTTATATAACAAGCACCTGTATTAGGTTCATAAATGTTATCTATGGCTCCCATACCCTGAAATGCAAAGTTATTTGAATTCGGTATGCATTTATTTCTGTTCATTATCACAAGATCATCTATATTTATAGAGGAATAGAAATTTATATATATTAAATACCATATTTTTAATTTCTCTGAAATAAATTGAGGTTTTGTACAAAACCATCTTGTCCTTTTGCATATTCCTGACAGTGATTCAATGTATGTAGTATGAAAACAACACACACACATTTACAGAACATATGGTTTTTTTAACCGGGTTTACGGTACAAGACTATTCAGTTTAGGAATGCATTATGCAGTTTGGTTTTTATGTCTACGCCAGTTCAGATTAATCCTTCAAAAGAAGTAATGTAAACTATTTAAGATCCATGATAGGATATGGTTGGTGGTCTGAAATCCAGGAAGAGATCTGCTGTGTGGCAAATATACCTGCTATGTTGCAATTTTTTTTCTTTTGCAAAGGAAAGGTTAAATTGGAAAAACGCCTTCAATATTTGCTGTGGGGGAAAAGGAGTGTTTCTTGCTGCCTAATCATATTTCAGTTATGTTTTTAAAATATGAGCAGAATTCTTTTTTTTCAGAAAAATTAAGAAGGGAAATATTTTTGTTTTGCCTGAAATTTTTAAATGTTTTACTAACCCAGGTTATTTCATATGTTAATGGAAAATATGTCAATTAGATTTATGATAAACTATATACATGCTACAGTTTCTTACCAAAATATACTTTCTCACCCAAAGTACCTTTTTTGAGGCATGGTTCTGGAATAATTGGATAATTCTGAGTTTTTGATTTTTCATGTTTTCTAGGATGGCAAACTAGTATTGTGTTCCATTATATCAAATTCATTATAAACAAGGGATATATAGATACTTTTTGCCTGATTTTCCCCCTCCCCAACAAAATAACATGTAATATGAAGGAAGCAAGACTTGGAAAATTATAGGAAGAATTTGCCCGCATTTAGACCTAAAGATATGAGAATAGAATTTAAGCATGTTTCCTTTAATTTTAACAAGCATACTCTTCATTTTCTTAAACATGGCCTATATGCAGTTCGAGTCTCTATTCTAGCAATTAAAATTGTACTGTTCAGTGTTCCGCCTTAATGGTCTAACCCAGAAACCATTCAACTTCACTTGCAGTGCAGTGATTTAGGCCATTTTAACTAAAGCTGCATTTATTTATTTGTGATCTGTAGAAATTAGTGACAGTGCAATTGTAATTTCTAGCTGAAATAGAATTTTACTAATTCACATATTTAATGTGTACCTAAAATGGGTCTCACTGCTTCTCAGATTTAACTGTTTAATTGTAGCACAGATGTTTTCACGTTTCATCATTCTTTGACAAAACATTCTGTAGTGTGTGCTTTAATTATTAGAACTCAAATTGTTTACCTAATACAAATGAGCAAGGCCCATTTCTTTTTTTTTTTATGCATTCCTGTTTTTGTTCTTCATCTGCATGCTCATTTGCAAAATTCAGTTATTCACAGTGGCCAGTCATTAGTGTTTTATTCATACTTTGGATATTTCAACTGTACTTATTGTCTGAAGTATTTAAGACTTCATAAAAAGTAATGTGCAATCTAGATTAAAGAGATATGAAGGTGCCTTTTGCATGAGCATATTAAAATAATAGCTAATACTGCACTGTAGTATAAAAACAAACACATCTGCTGTTCCATGGCTCTAGGGAATTCGGATAGGATTTCTGACGATACATTTTGTATAATTGGCATGTGATATTTATGAGGGGACCATATCGGGCAATAGAACAGTGTTGCAAAATTCTTATTTGTGCATGATAAAGAAGAAGATATAATAAATACTTTGGTATGACAAAGTTTGATAACAAAATTTAACAGTATTTGTAAATGGCATTCTGTAATCAATAGCAATGCTTTTTCTTTTGGAAAGTAGCTGATCTAAAATGACAAGGCCCACACAAATGCACATATTCCTCTATATAGGGCAATATCACAATAACCCAGAAAAGTGAGGATTCCATCTTTTGCACATTGCAGCACCTAAGTTAAACCATTTCCTGTTTCCCTATCAAATCTAAGGACTTCTAACATGTTCGTGTAAATTTTTCCGATAATTATCAGTATAGGGTTAAGTTTAAAATAAATCAGTAAAAGGTTAATTTTAAAAGCTGCATTCACGTAGGCCTGAATTCTCTTGTAACACTGGGTTGTGCACTTCTGTTGTCTCTGTCATGATACGTGCCGCTGGGTGCAATTACAAGTTTCCTTCTCCAGATAAATGGCAATTGACATCTTTGACTTCCGGTTTAAATATGCATTGGTGATTTTTTTTTTTCCCCCTTCTATATTCCACATATTGAGAAGCTAACTCTGAAAGACGCTATTTTCTGCACTATCTACTCTCCTTTGAAAATAAATCCTGGCCTATGCCACTCCTCCTGTCCTTAAATGGCAACATAAGGTACTTGCTCATACTGAGTAATAGTTTACTTTCCAGGGAAGCCCACTTGTCCTCTTGGAATATGGCACCATCTGCTATAAAAAATCTATATCTGTATCTGTCCATAAATATGATATCTACAGCACAGTTTTATCCAAGACTGTGTGAGCCTGCTCATCTTGAACTACCATACTTTTTAACTAACTTCATGCTGTTTGAAAGAGCTGTTACATTACTGATGGCACTGTGTAAGAATGTTTGAACTTGAGAACATAACTTTCCCTTCCCAATGTTGTATGGGCCCTGAAATAGATACCTGAAGACTTCAATTCGTCTGAAGAAGTATTAAAAGTCTAAAAAAATGTAAGCTAGAAAAGTAGAGAAACGAAGGTGTGGTTATCATTTCATCCTTAACTCACCCTCTAGTGTTCAGATACTGTAATTGCAGTATGCTTAGTAGGTAACATCACTTAATATATTAAGACTGCTGTGATGATAGCATGGTGATTGCTGATCAATGCACGCTGATGCAATGTGTCAGCATGATGTAGTCTTGACTATGAATATCTTTACTTTGGGGTTTTAAAACAATTAATTTTGTACCATTTATTATTTGTACCCACAGCTCCAATTAGGATTAGAACCCCATTGAGCTGAATACCATGCAAGCACAGAAAGACC